CGTTCTGGCTAAACGGCAGCTCTCGAAAAAGCTTGGGTTGGCACCTTGGGAATCCGGGGTAAAATGCTTGTTTTTTGAAGCCTCAGCGCTAACATGGCGTACCTGAGGTTGGAAGAAGCATAGCCTCCGGATGTGCGTAAAGAGTGCCAATGTTGTGTATAGGGTCAAGAACGTCGATAGTAGCGAGGTGGCACTCACCGCCCCTCCCCAATTCTGCCGGTGCTCAAAGATTACTCAACATCATTGAAAGGAGACAAGGCTGTTCTAGTGCAACTTGAAGGCGAGTTCAATGGCGGTCTGATTGAGCGTAGCGACTACCGGTTCTCCTGATAATGAAACAAATATAGGGTGGGTCTGTCCGACCGCCGCGTTTCCGTCACTGGTAGGCCTATCACTAGTCAGTGCAAATGCATGTGTCGCTCGAAAGTACGCACTCGACATGCACATAAGATAGCTCTGCAGGGAGAGGATTTATGTCGTGGCTAGACATGAATCTGCGCGAAGGCGGAGGTTCCACGAGGGAAGATACAGTTGTGTGATGACGTCATCACTGCGTTCTCGCGACCGGCTCCGTCATTACACTATACTAGATAGATGATGCATCGTGAATCGCTGCGGACCTGTACTCGACTTCCACCCACGACTTTGATCGAATACATCAGCATCAAACCAACACCTTCGCGAGTTTTTACCTCCGCGACTCAGTTCCAAAGATGGCGTTGCCGCTTCAAAAGAGCACACAGTGCTACAAAGTATCGCATCATCTACCGACCTCTGCAGGCGAACAGCAAATGTTTTCAGAACTCATGCTGAAGTTCACAAAGTTTCGATAAGCTATTGAACCCTGTCTGTATTGGGCAGGCCTGTGAGCTCTGTGCAATGGGAGCTTTTAGAAAGAGTGCGGGGCACGTCATCGTGTGGCACAGTCAGAGTGCAAGTCCTAACGAGGCCTCGCATTTGAAGCGCATATCACCTCTCATTCACTTCGAGATCTTACGACTGGACGCCCCATTTCTCACCATGTCACTACAAGACGAGACTGTCGAGAACGTTCCGGATCCGACTTGCGAGAAGAATGATACAGCGAATCCTACTGTCGGAGCCGAGACAAGACTTGATATGATCAAGAGCTGGATTAACACCTGCAATCAGCACCATGACTCTCCCTGCGTCATACCCAAAGCAGAAGCAACCGCGTGGCCTGCGTGGCTCATCGATACTGTGAACGCTTGCATAGTTGAGGGCGAAATTGCCGACCGATATCTTACACTGAGCTACGTGTGGGGCGGAATACAGACAGTGCAGTTGTCTTCAAGCAACATTGGTCTTTTGAGGCAGCAAGGAAGCCTCATAGAGGTAGAATCCACCCTACCCAGAACAATACGGGAAGCTTTGCAGGTTACACGATTGCTCGAAGAACGGTACATCTTCGTTGACCAGCTTTGTATCGTCCAAGACGATCAGCATCATAAGAAGGTCGAAATTGAGAACATGGCGGAGATATATGCGAACTCTTACCTGACTCTTGTCGCTGCCACGGGCGCTACGGCGGACTTTGGCCTGGTGGATCGCCCCGATCAATGGATACACCAGTCTCTCCGCAGCGTAAATTGGCCGGAGCGTAAACGTTATCATGAAATGAGGTATCTAGGCTTGAGTCAAACGTGGAGTTTCCGAGGATGGTAAGTAAACTTTCGTGTATCACACAGCAGGGAAGTCTTTATACTAACGGTTGTCGTGTTCGATCTCAGGACCCATCAGGAACGTAACAATGCGGGACGTATCTTATACTTCTTCAAATTTGTAAAAGAAAATATCGAATGTGGGGAGAAGCATGATCCCGACCTCGTATCGTGGTTATGTCACCGAACTCAATGGCTTGACAAAAAGGGTATACTAACAACTGGATCTAACCAACGTCCCATTGCATCTGGAGACTTACTTCCGGGCCCGGCTACCTGGCCGGACTTTGAAAAATATGCGGTAGAAGTCAGGGATTACATACCTAGACATTTCACCTATGATTCCGACGTCGTACCGGCATTCGCCGGTACTGCTGCCTCACTTGCAAAGGTCTTCCCTGGCGGATTCTTGTTCGGCCTCCCCGTTCTGTTCTTTGATCTCGCACTTCTGTGGACGTTCCATGAAGTTGCAGCAAGAAGAATCGTATCTGCAGATCTCGAGGAGAGTACTGGGCCACCGAGCTGGTCTTGGATGACCTGGCGTGGGAACTTGTCCTGTCCTATCTTTTGGTGGGGTAACACACGCTCCTTGATAAAGAGACAGGATGGCGACGCGGGTATTATTATATGTCCACTTGTTCAGTGGTACTACAGCGGCACAGGAGGAGCTCGAATCGCGGTCGAGAACGAGTATCACAAGTACATACATTTCGCTCGTGACGGTGGAAGTATCCCACCTCTAGGTTGGAGTCGAACTATGTCATCTTCTAGCAAGCATAGTTCTGATATGCACAGAAACTACGATTACGAAACACCCGCAGCTCCTGGGCTCAAGTTTCGTTTCCCGATCCCACTCGTGGATACATCGCATACACCCATAACGCTACCGATGCCGATGTTGAATATAATCACATGCCAAACCGAGCGTGCGTACTTTCTTGTAGCTTGGCAGGGGAAGGGCGTCAACGACGGATTGGGTGCAACGGTAGAGATATATGACGTTGAAGGGTCTGCAGTGGGCAGGATGTGGAAATCCGGAGATGCACCTGTACCGACGACAGAGGATCTGAGGGTCGAACTGATTGCGATATCTACCGGCCTCGCAGGAAACAGGAATGAGTGTTATGAGAGATTGTATCGGGGTAAACCTTACACGGAAAACCGAGATGACGACGATGTACGAGAGTTCTACAATCTTCTTTGGATTGAGTGGACAGACGGTATCGCCTACAGAAAAGCCGTCGGTCAAATCGATAAAGAACCATGGGAAGCAGCTGATCGGGAACTCATCGAAGTCAAACTTGGATGAGAAGGGGCAGTCTTAGCGTTATTGTAGCTCCGCCTACGTTCTTGTCTCAGCTCACACTGGAGCACACCCTCGCTTTCAACAAAACATTACTCATCTCAGCATACTCTCCCCACTCGTTACCCCATTTAACCAAACCCGGGAATGCGCAGAACAGGAACCTCCGATCCATATCCATGTCAGCACCATCTTCCACAGCAGGGTCAACGTCGTTGACAGCTTCCATTGTGCGGTCATCGAACTGCATACTCGCGTCTTGACAGCGGAAGAAGAGCAGCTGGTAACGAGCCTTCTGCAGAGCCAGCGTACGTTGCAGACCCACGGCGTCCTTTAAGATCCCCGTGAGCGTTGACTGAGCGGATGATGGAAGGCTCACGGATGTGAGTGTGAAGAGCATGTGGCTGATCTCTCCCGTGAGTCGGTGTAGTGAGGCTTCTCTTTCGGTTTCGATGGCACTGCTGGCCTCACTGCGTTCAAGGATCTGCACGGTAGCGCGCACCCATTCCCTGTATGTGGTACCAAGATGCCGTGTGTGCTCCGCGAGTGGTCGCAATGTAGCAAAAGGACCTGTGCTAGGTAGCCCAAACACAACAGGAGCATCGAAGATCTGCATGAGCGAATTTGAGACAATAGCCTGATACAGCGCAAGCTTATCCGTACTCCGAATGTTAACACTGTACAGCGGATTCAAAGCGCTGAGAACCTCCTCCGTCTCCTTCGGAAGGTTGTCGAGGTTCAACTTCGATCGCCGGAAGTTCGACACAGTCCATTCGCGCACGCAATTTGCAAGTTGTGAGAACGATTCTGCCAGCTCGCTATCCGTGATCTGCGAGTCCATACGCGTGAGAGAGGATATGCTTGACTTCAGTGCGAGAAGTTGCTGGAGCCTCTCTTGTGATTCCTTCTCGGCGGCATGGAGGCGTAGGCGTAGGTCGTCTGCTTCGCCGTTCGGCTGTGGTCGCTCGAGGCGGTTTTGATGTGTTTTGTCGTGCGACGCGAGTCGCTCTTCGAGCTGTGCCGGTGAAACTGTATCCGCATTCGAAGCCGACTGAGTGAGTTGCGCCCTCAGCTCCTCAATCGTGTCTTGATCTGCTTCCCTGTATTGTCTCAATCTTGACAGCTCCTCCCTAGCCAAGTTCTGTTCCTCCTTCGCAACCGCGAGAGCTTGCTCCAGGTCCGCGATTCTGTGTGCCGTGCGCGCGTCTACGGCATCATCGCCCGATGACGCCATTTCCGACTTGCTGTAGAGCTCATTGCTAGGCCCTGAAGGTGCAGTGTCCCTTTCGAGATCTACCGCACCTTCGCTTTTGCGCTTCAGCATATCATTGAAGGGGTATCGGCGTCGATGTACTTCGTCTTTCCTCGCATTGGGAGCGGCTACGGCAGCTTTCGGTGGAGTGACGACGTTGTTCGCGGAGGGCTTCGTTGATCTCGAGATGAGTCTGGTACCACGCTTCACGCTGAGGCGGTGGGTAGGTTCTGAGTATATTAACACATGCTAAGGCCGTGCGGTCGAGTGCTGAGGCTTGCCAGAACTCTTTCGTTCGGTCATAGTTGGGACCGGGCGCGTTCCGACCTAAGGGCGCATCGGAACCAACTTCAAAGCGGGCGTCAAAGACCCAAACCTCCACACCCCTCTCGAAAAATACCAACATCAGATGGCTTCACGTGGGGCGACACGAGTGTGCCCGGGCGAGCTGAATGTTGCAGCCTTGCGCGAGCTGACGATCACCAACCAGGGCCCGCAGCTGGGCGACTCCTACAGCTGTGGGTAGCGCGCGCCGTTCCTAGGCTTCGACATCACACCGCGCAGGGTTTCCGCCGGTGCCTGAATCATTCCATGTCCTTCAGGCAGACACACTCATGACCTCGACGTCTCCCCCGTATCCACGTTCACGCCCATGATACTCCTGTGCTTTTCGTAGGATTCAGCCCCGCGGTCCGACCCACGCGACAGCCACGCGATCTGCCGAAGCCGGCATTGTAAACAACAAAGATCAACACACCGAAGAATGGCCATGAACCACACGTTCCCCAATCGAGGAAGTAGCATTCCGTATACTTTCAATCCGGGAAGCAATGCGACAATCGATATAGGCAGCGTACCTGAAGCGGGTAGTACCACGAAGGATAGGTTGGTCGTCGGTGTCGACTTTGGAACCACCTACAGCGGTTGGTAGCAACTATTCCACGATATGCGACCGATACGATTGGACGCTGAAGCTCGATAGGTGTGGCTGCCGTCTATAGTGCGACCCCTGACGACATTGACATCATCAAGACGTGGCCTGGCGGGAACGGTATGTTGTACTTGGGTTGACCAAATGCGCATCCACGAACTGACATGTACGCGCAGGTATCACGTCCGACAAAGTTCCCACCGAAATCGGTTACAGCGAACCATCCCCTCGTAACGGCTCGGTCTCCTCGCTCGATGCGCCCGCGAAAGCTGCGCAGAACATAAAATGGGGGTTCCAATTCAAGCCCGAGGAGACGCGTCTCCGGTGTATAAAGCTGTTCCTCGACAGGAATCAGAAGCTACCGCATTTCGTATCACCGCTTGAAACCGCTGCGCAATTGCGCAAGTTCGAGAAGACGGTCATGGAGGCGGTCTCGGACTATCTGTCGCAGATATACAAACATACAATGGAGACTTTGACAAAGAGATACGGAGAGACATTCATCAGCTTGACCAAAGTTGAGTTCGTCTTGACAGTCCCTGCTGTGTGGTCAGACTCGGCGAAGGATGCGACGTTGAAGGCTGCGGAGAAAGCTGGCATGGGCAACAGGCACGAGCTGAAGCTTATATCAGAACCGGAGGCGGCGGCGGTATACACTCTCAAGGCGATACAACCGAATCATCTGAAGATCGGCGACAACTTTGTTGTTTGTGATGCTGGTGGCGGTACTGTCGACTTGATCGCATACAAGATCACCCAATTGCACCCTCTCCGCGTCGAGGAATCAGCAGTTGGGACTGGCGGTCTCTGTGGCTCAACGTTCATCAACTATCGCTTCGAGGAACATGTGAAGCAGCGCATTGGTGCAGAACGCTATAATTGGATGCGCGAGAAGAAGATGAAGACCTGGAACATGGGGTTGAAGTACTTTGAGGAGTTCGTCAAGCGCAACTTCAATGAGGAGGAACACAATGAGGTCAACATACCCTTCCCAGGTTTACCGGACGACGAGGAAGCGGGGCTTGACTCTGGGTTCCTTGTCATGAGCGCGGAGCAAGTCAAGGAACTATTCGATCCGGTAGTCCAAGAAGTCATAGATCTGGTAGAAGGTCAAGTCCACAGCATAAGAGCAAAGGGAGGTCTGGTGTGCGGTATCGTCCTGGTGGGAGGCTTCGGGCAGAGCAATTACCTCTACGGTCGAATGAAGTCCCACTTCAATAGCGCACCTCCACCTCCGTATACCGAAAGACCAACGCACGCTGTCGCATTGAATGCCTCACAGGCAGTCGAGATATACCACCCCATACATGCGTGGACAGCAGTGGTGCGAGGCGCAGTACTCCGCGGGCTAGAAGGCAATATGGTCATCAGCAGAAGAAGTCGATGGCACTACGGCACCAGCTACGCGACAGTCTTCGACGAGGCGAAGCATCCCATATCCGACCGATATTGGAGTCCACTCTGGGAACGATGGATGGTGTCCGACCGGATGCAATGGCACATCGCAAAGGCACATACCCCCCTCACCTTTTCCATGATATAACACAACATACTAACCTCCCACACAGGGCGCACAAGTCTCCGAAAACAGACCTATATCATTCCACTACACGCGCAACTTCCGGCCGGGCCAATCCCTAATTGTAGAAGATGACCTCATAGCCTGTGACGCGGACACAGCGCCCGACTCCTTTAAGAAGGGTCTTATCAATGTCTGCACACTGACCACGGACTTGAACACTGTGCCGAAGAGTCTGTTTACGCGGTTGACGACGACGAAGGGAGTGGAGTTTGACAATCTGGATTTTACGCTGGATATGCGGTGTGAGAGTGCGGGGTTGGTGTTCGAGCTGAAGGTTGATGGTGTGAGATATGGGGGTGTTAGTGCGAAGTTTCATTGAGGAAGGAAGGCAGGCAGGGAAGTTGATGGAGGGACGAGATTGAGAATGTGGTCCGGCAAGACTTGAGTAGGATCCGAACAATTCAGAATATTAATCTCAGTCGAAATTTAGTTAACGAAGATTCTGTGGATGCGATGCGCGTCAAGGTGTTTTCGAGTGAGTGTTGATGTGTGACAGACGGTCGAGACGAATGTTATGCCAGGGCAGCCGACAGCGGACCATACACTTGATGTTTACTGCCGATTTGCCGCATGCGGCACCACCTGTATCGGCTGCGGCGTTACTGCCCTGGCAAGATCGAAGGATGAAAGGATCGCATCCTGAAGTAAAGCGATAGGAGCGGTCGAAATCGCCGTGGATCTTGATCTGATCGCAAATCGCAACTGGGGGAAGAATCCTTCAACGGAGATATGGGTGCGAAGGTGTACACTGGAGAGCCCCCGTCGATGACCACTGCATTATTCACACAGTTCTCGTCGGCAGTGCTTTGGGCTGCGTATGCCCAAAGATTAAAGGTTTCTCACGGATCACCATTAGGTTTTCGTGAGCACTCTATCTGAGAACGATAGCGACCCCGAGTAATGTCGAAAGTGTATATATCACCTAGGTTCCCACGCGTTTGGTAAACGGACATAGTACCCGTTGTAGACAACAGAACCGATGCTATTTTCTGAGAATAAGATGATTCAGCAAGGGCAGGGTGTCGAGCGTAGTTTGTGCTGCGGATTTTCGGATGCTGAACTATCCATGTGGTGCTCGTGGGGCAAGCGTGGATGGGATGATCCAGGGGGTGGGGAAGCCGGAAAACCTAGTTTTGCACTGTAATATTGTAGTCGTAAGAGATGGTTTGGTTTGTAGATTCCTAATCTACAAGTCATGGTCACATACCCTGGTAGTAAGACGCGTAGACGAGTTTAGGTCGTGATGGCTAACCCACGCGTAGTCTATCGTGGCTGCATCATGTTTCCTTTTTCATACCAGTGCGCTCCCGGGTATAGAGCCTCCCGGCAACGTGTACACTTGGCAGCCAGGCGAGCAGAGATCCTGATGCGGAACTAAAGTCCCGACGATTTGAGGTTTTGGTGATCCGACCTAGTTGTTCAAGGGGGTGCGCTGACTAGTGGAACCCCGCATTTGGGTTCCATGCGTGAAGATCGTTAGCAGCGATTTCACACCCTCGATCGCTCGGGGGACGTCCCGCCTGTAAGATCTCAACCTGTGGTGCGTGGAGATTGCCGTGGGCAGTGAGTGAGATTGGTGGCGTGATAGTCGATGCAGGTATTACCAGGTTTTGCATCGCATTTAGAAACCAGGACAAAGACATGCCCACGCGATGGATGTGGTCACTTGTGGGGCCTGTCGAGCGCAGCACACATATCGATGGATTTCGCGACTAGATCTGTGCGATACTGAATGCGGTAATTTGGGCGAATCATGGCTCTCGGATGCGAGTCCGATGAGAACTGCCGCGTATCGGATCGGAATCTCTACCGGTGGCACGGGCAAATCTCCCGAACAAAGCCGATGGGTGAATGGTTCTGGTGATACCCTCAGCATCCTTGATCAATATCGTCACTGCTCAGCATTTGGTCGCCGGAGTAAGACGCTGTTCGAAGAAACAGACGACCAGCGATTCAGGGTCCATGAGGATACCTGCCGAGTCGTGCGTGGTGCGTGGTTAGCGAACGGGACTTGCCATTTCACGCTTCTAGTACTACTGCACTCTAGTTAAGTAGAATTGTGAAACCAGCGCAACATGACGAAGGACCGATATCTCAAATCGGCTTTTCGATTCGAGATGCGTCCGTTGTACGAAGTGAACCATAATATCTCCAACCTTGATAACATAGTATGGTTCAGACGACGGGGCGGAATTTTATTCTCGCAAGCTGTCGCGGATAACTCCGTCGCAGCTGCGGTCGGGGACATATGACGTAGAAATCGAATGATTAGTTGGAGAAGAACCGTATTCCTAGGGTTCGAAGGCCCTGTCAGCAAGTGAGGCTGCGTGCCCGCTAGAATAAAGACTTTAGTATACCGGCTTTCTATATAAAATAGGAAAGGTGTCCCCGAGGCAATCGAACTTTAACCATAAGGCGAGCAATTCGACGGAGGCTCGGCCAAGACGTGATCGACCATGACAGCTGAGCGGAGATGGCTCCGTAGCTTTCTGGTCGATCATAATGCAGAGCTTTAGAGTCCGGCTGTTGATAGCGGACGCTGAGGAACTGTGCCAACGTCGAAGCGCGTCTAGAAGTATGCGGCCGGCGTTATTTTTGTGAATTATAGGCGAGGTGTTGCGCGGCTGTCAACGTGTCGCGTTCACTCTCCTGAAGATCACCCACTGAGTTTACCAAAGCGGACACTAGCCAACGTGATGCTGATCTCCAGAGGTTCGGTATGGGGCTCCGCCATGTCGGGCAGACAGCGTGGCGACAAGACTGGACGTTCGAGATGCGCTAGGAAACGTGGTGACTGCCAAGCTAATATGGGCTTGGTGTTGAGGAGTGGTGTGAGGGCCTCAGCAAACTCAAAGTAGGGGAAAACGTTCATCTCAACGATGTGCTGGTGTGAATTCAAAGTGATGCGATTGGTCGTTTGAGCTCGAGCGCAACCACACCCAGGCTTCGGGCGGCGACGGTCAGTATCATGAACTTCCTAACCTTCAGTGACCTACTCAAGGTTTGACCAAGGCGCCCTTACTCTTGGAGATGCTTTTCCCTCTAGACGATGAGCAGTCTATGGTGTGGTCGTACGACTAGCTTATATCCGAGTATCTGCCCGTAGCTAGCTCTTGAGAAAGCGAGTGCGGAGACCACATAGCCGGGAACGGTCTCGCGTACGCTTTCAAAGCAATTCGCCGGTATACGGAGTACGGTGCGTTGTCGTTGCATAAGAACGAAGATGTTGCATATGCGCAAGGATGAATGACCGTATCATGCGAAAGAACTGCCGTGGTGTCGATAGTTGCTCATATGGCTAAGGCGCAGGACGTGATAGTCGCTAGCGTCGAATCGAGCATTGAACGAAGAACCCACATAGAAGGTGGGAATGTATTCTGCGATGTGACATGTCCAGTCTGGCGGGCCTGGCGTATCGTTTGAGCTGGCGAAGGATCTGCTATACGCCCGGCATCTGTGTCTTTGTTACCTCGGTGAAGCCTGACCAGATGGAGGTTGCACCACTGTGTCGCCGTGGCGCAGACTGCAGGGCTGTGATGCAGCCATAGTCGTACACCCTTCTCCAAGAGTCCCGGAGATGCCGCAGTACAATGATTGTCGATGTAGTGAGACAAGTGGGGTTGCAATGCTGACATTCATGGCCCAACCCCAACGTGGGGGCACTGTGTAGTCGCTACTATAGGCAGGAAGTACCAGAGCTGCGCAACATTGATACGGCCCTGCGATGTTGGTACTCGTGCTTTGATAACGAGGTGGTAATGTCGGTCATGTCCGCTGCCACCTACTATGAGGGGCTAGCAGTAGTGTCGAGGAGTGCTGGCCTGTATCGTGAGGACGGTGGAAGAGACGATGAGGTGGTGGAGCTTGATATCGCGCCGCCGGCGCATGTCACCAGGGCCAATCAGGGCGCGGTGGTGGTCGAGGTGAAGGACGCGCGGGGTTTTGGAGCTCTTGCTATCTGTGCGCAGCATGGCACTGCAATTGGCAGGCGCGCACCGCAAAGTCCCAGGGTGGAAGTTGCGGTTAAGCGAGCCAAGACTAGCGAGGGGGAAGGCACGATGCAAGCCTCGCACGAGCGTTCACGAACGGATGAAGCGCCGTTCGCCTGTGCAGCGGCGCAAACACCAACTACTGATCACCATGTTATCCCCGACTTCTTGATAGCCGGCCCTCCGCCAAATCGATCGGTTGATGTCCGGTACGTTTCAGATACACTACACTACCGCGAACAATTTAGCCAGAATACATGACTGAACTCTGCGCACGACCAAGGCGACTCGCATCCTCAGGCCTAAGGGCTGGAGAATCGGAGGGCATTATTACCGACGACCTGGTCTAAAAGCGTCAAATCGATATTACCCTCCAATGACGTGCAAAGCTAACACAGGCTGTCGGCACCGGCAGGATGCAGTGCTGACCGCGCGAACACGATGAGTAGCGGACACATGGAAGACAAGAAAAATGGAGAACGTGGGATAGCTTTCCCTGCTTCTTGGGCGGCGGAGCCGTACTGGGAAAAAGAAATATCCTACGCCTCACCATAGACGCGCCACTACGGACCGGTGGGGGGAGACGCTGCGCAGGTGCCGTCGGGAAATAGCAAGCCTGCTGGAAACCGTCTGACCACCGAAAATTCGAGACGAATTAATAGGCCCGAAGTGCTTTTGTATCAGATCGGTCTTCCACGTGCAATCGCCTGTCTTGGACAACGCCCGTACTATTGGTGTGCAAGTCATGCAGCGACCGTAGCCAGAGCGCTGGGTCAGGCCTCATGCGCATTAACCGACGACCGGCGGCCATCACGTACTGCAATCCAGCTTGGCCAGTGACATGCTCGCTTGACCACGCTTGTGCAACGCAACTGTGGAATCGCTGATTATCCTCAATCGCGATGACGCGAGTGGAGATTAGTCGAGCCTTTGCCAGGGCCTTGCTAGCGAGATGAACACTGTGGAGAAGGACGCGCCTTCGCAGCCAATTTGTCGCAGGATAGCATACCATGACAGCGCCAGCAGTTCACGTCGGCGTCATCCCTGCACCACCCTTCGAGACCTCTCCAACGACCGCGAGCATCGGGGGATCATCGCAGCGGGCTTTCGCTACTGGGCGGTCACGTCACGACGTCTGCGTATTGGGCCCTCATCTGCGCAAACCAAACCCTACCAGTCTCCAGTCTGCGTCAGCTCTCTCGCTCAGGCACTTCGGCCCTGTCTCCATTGAGGCCTTTATCGCCGTCCTCATCATCTTAGATCCGGACACTGTTGAATCTCATCCTGGCTCAACCACGCTTCCCCGGCGACGTTCGTACGCACAGAGCCA